GATCCTTAGCACCACATAAAAATGAAACAAATAAAATAAAATCATGCTGTCCATCTATAATTACAATTTTTTTTAAGTAAAGAAATAAATGGAAAGGTAAAGAATGTGAAAGTTCTTACAGAGTCCTATGACCCAGAGATGAACATTGTTAACTACTGGCTTTTGTGTCCTAGTAAACACTTCTCTTCAGGCAAAACAGGCATGCACAATTGTGGTGGTGGTTGGTGGGGCGAGGCGCTGGAGAAACAAATATGTCACTGTTGTTATCAAAACCCCATGTCGTGGTCCTACCCTGGATATTAGGTCCTGGCTACTTTCAACCCGATGCTTCTGTGTCCTGATAAGTGTGGGGAGGCCCCTCCTCAGGCCAAGGCTGGGGTGGGGGTGGGGGTTGGGGGGCAGTCACTGCCAGGGGAAGGATGCTGACACCGTGCACCGCATCCCTGTGCACACCCAGGCTGCGAGCTGGTCCTTCGGTTCTCATGGAGTTGCCCGCACACTTGCTCGGTTCCCCAGGAGGGTCAGGGTTAAGGCCTCCCCAGGAGGGACAGGGAGGGACTGCTGGGCGCTCGTGGTTTCCTGCAGAGCTTCTGTTTCATTAGGCTGCACATTCTGGGATCCAGGGCCATTATTTGTCGACCCAGCAGACACTGCGGTCTTCCTCAGCCACAGCCCCTGGGGAGACTGGGGAGGGCGGTGCCCAGCGCTTCCTACTGGCAACTTTCCTGCAGCCAGTCGGTTCCTGCAAGGCTCGGAGGCACCTCTCCCAGGTCCCTCCCTCTTGCCTCTTCATACACCAGTTTACTAGGGCCTTCTTCTACTCCTCTCTAAACTACTTTTATGAAAATATATGAGTTATTTTTAACCTGTGGTGTAAATGACAATCACAAAGCCCCCAAACACACTCTGCCCTTCCAAGTAGTTTCCTAGGATCTCAGAGAAAGTGACTGATCCAGAGTCACACAGCAAGAAGGTGGCAGAAATGGTAGGCCTCAGGCTTGGGATCCTCAGGGTGATGGGGAATTCTGGACCCTTCAGAAAATATGGCCTGAATGTAAGGATGGATGTGAAATGGTAGTAGCAAGGGGAGTGATTATTTTGCCCTCAGGACCCTTGGAAGATGCAGCCTTGGGTGCATCTTCTCTGAATGGTTGGCAAAAGAGGTTGCCCCATGTTTTGAAAAGCCTTAAAGAGACTGAGAGCAGGGTGCAGTGGCACATGCCTGTAGTCTCAACAGCTGGGTAGGCTGAGGCAGGAGAAGTTCAAGGCCAGCCTCAGCAACTGAGACCCTGTCTCAAAGTAAAAAGTAGTAGGGACTGGGAATATATCTCAGTGGTAGAGATATATTCTGCCTAGTATGTGTGAGTTCCTGGATTCAATCCCCAGAACAGGGGGCTGGGGTTGTGCTTCAGTGGTAGAGCACTTGCCTCGCACATGTGAGGCACTGGGTTCAATCCTCAGCACACATATAATAAATAAATAAACAAAATAAAGGCATTGTGTCCATCTACAACTTAAAAAAAAATAAAGAAAATCCCAGAACTGTAGAGGGAAAAGGTGTGTGTGTGTGTGAGTGTGTGTGTGGTAGCCTGAGAAAGTCAGATCATCTTTTCCAAAAGAGTCTGCCCATTCTCCTCTAGGGAAGAGCAAGCATTGACTCTAAGCTCTAAGAGCTTAACACAATCATTTTAAGGCTTCCTAACACCTTGGTAAACCTGTTAGTAGTGTTGCTTCAAAGCATAATTAAGAAAGGGACTGAGGCAGGACTTATATTTTTCAAAAATTCCCAAGTGTTTGTTACTAACACAACCACAAAGTTTGCTCAGAACTCCCTGAGTTTGTTGCTCTGCAGCAATGGGGTAGCCATTTTCTTTGAAGACAAGGGGGCACTGTGTGATAATCAGGAGCAGAAAGATTTGGAAAAAAGTGGACTTGAAAGGCAGGTGTAAAACTGGGGCTAAGGAAGTTGCAGTTGTTAAAGACCTTATTGCCACTAAAGAAATGTTAAAGACTTTGTCCAGAGACAGATGGTTTGAGGGCATTTCAGGAGTTAACAAGACCACACCCATCTCAAGCTCAAGGGAGTAAAAGTGAAAATTCTTTTGAGAAGAGACCAGTGGGGCACCCTTCTTGAACAAGGGGGCCTGGGAAGTTTGTTCAACATGCTCAGCTATCCAGACACTCAGAGGCTGCTGTAGCAAGGATCCCTACAGGCTTGTCTACTGCTTGAGATGGCAGCGGATCTTGGTGTCAACCACGTGGTTCGGGTTCTGCAGGAATGCAGGATACTGGAGTTAGGGATTCAAAGAGGCTTCCACCAAGATTTCAAAGGAAGGTGTGGGAGGCCAGACAAAGTGCAGGAGGGTTACAGTCCCTGCAGGAACCTCCTGAGAAATCCAAGTGTGGAGAAGTGAGGAGGAAGCCAAAGCTGCAGTGGAGACACCCAAGATTAAGAAATGCCAGTAATGTGGGATATTGTCCTAGGAAAGCTACAGAAATTGAGCAGACACAAGCCAACGGAAAGGCCACTTGGGCTGCAACAAACAAGGCCACAGGGTAACAGGGACCCTCACAAGGCTATGTGCCCTAGATGCCGAGATGGAGCTACAGGACTTGTTTGTACTCTGTACCTTTATATATTGGATACTCGTAAATTGCTTTTAATTTTACAGGAGTTCACATGGGAGATTGCCTTGAGCCTCAGAGAAGACTTTGGACTTGAACCTTGAGCAATCTCGGAACTGTTGAGACTATGGGGACTCTTGGGAATGGACTAAATGTATTTTGCATTGTGAGATGGTTGTGAGTTTGGGGGACCAGGGGCAGAATATTATGGTTTGAATGTGAGGTGTCCATCAAAACTCATGTGTGAGACAATGCAAGAAGGTTCAGAGGAGAAATGATTGGGTTATAAGAGTCTTAACCCAATCAGTGAATTAATCCCCTGATAGAGATTAACTGATTGGTAACTGAAGTGGTAGTGTGTGGCTGGAAGAAACAGGAATTGGGCATGGCTTTGGGGTATATATTTGTATCTGGTAAGTAGAGTTGCTCTCCCTGCTTTCTGATCACCATGTGAGTGGCTTCCCTCTGCCACACTCTTTCACCCTGATGTTCTGCCTCACTTCTAGCCCTGAGGAATGGAGCACCTTCCATGGACTAACACTCCTGAAATCATGAGCCCTCAAATAAACTTCTCCTCTACAGTTGTTCTGCTTGGGTCCTTTTATTTGCAGCAGCAAAGAAGCTGACTAAGACAATATAATATCCTCAAGGGTACATTTTTATTTGGAAGTGGGGTATGTGGTAACTTAGAAAAACTCTGTTGTTTGAGGCTTAGTAGAGTGATGTGGTATTTCTCAGGAAAGTGGTGGGGACCATCTGTGTGTCTCTAGGACTCAGTCCAGGGCCTGCAGTTTGAGCAATTATACTCTGCTGCATCTGTCCTGAAGGATAACCCTCTGTAACCTCAAATGAACTATTTGTACAAAAAACAACAACAACAACAACAACAAAAGTGTGCTTCCTGGTTGCCTCACACCCATTTTTAGAGTTAGAGTTATTTTAGTACAAGTCTGAAACAGCCGCCCCCACGCCCAAGAGGATAGATATTGTAAATCCCTACTTAGTATTTCCAGAAAAGCCTGAGTGGCAGTACAAATTTCATCCAGGACAAGTTTTCCTGCAGGCATATCCTTGGGTCCAGGTAGGCTGGCCAGGCTCCTCAAGTAAACCATTGTGACTTCCTTCCTGAAGATCCCATTCTCAGAGTTCTAAGTAACTTTTTCTCTGCCTGCAAGGAAGGATTCCATTTGACTTTCCACAGTTAGTAGAGTTTTATTAAAATAATTTGTAAGGAAGCAGATAATGACAGGAATCTCACAATGTTAGTACCAGAAGGGCCTGAGGGGAATATCTGATGTTCTCTGCCTTTCTTAACCTGCCAACCACTAATCTTGCTGTTTTACTTGTCAGTGACAAGCCAGTGTAATTGGGAATTCAAGGCAGTGGTTGGTGGGGAGCCAACGAAGATTTTGGAGCAGGTGTTTTTTTTAAGAAGGTTATTTTGGCTGCTCTGTAAAGAATGAGTGGTCAAAATCTGTGGTAGTGTTCTAGGGATAGAACACTCCTGGAATCCCAGCGACTCAGGAGGCTGAGGCAGGATTGCAAGATCAAGGCCAGCCTGGGTAAAATAAAAAATAAAAAAAGCCTAGGAATGTAGCTCAGTGGTAGAACATCTTTGGGTTCAATCCCCAGTCCAAAAAAAAAAAAAAAAAAAGAAAAGAAAAACCACTAAGTTGGTAGGAAGACCAGGACTTGGAATAGGATGAAGGAGCTGGAGGTAAATGGATGGGTGGGTGGACAGGTATTTAGAAAGTGGGCTTGACAAAATTCGTAACTGATTGTGGGGAGGAAGAAGGAGGCTTCGAGGTAACCCCCAGGGTTTTTGACCCGGATCTTTGGGCAGATGGTGAGGCCATTATTGGGTTAGGAGAGGAGAGGGTTTGGTAGGAAGTTAAGTTCAGGGCAAGTTTTGCTTAAGACACCCATGGAGCAGGTGTCCAAGTTATTGAATATTTTACAGGTGCGATACTTAGGAGAGGGGTCGACACAGGAATAGGAAGCCGGGGGATATTAACAGTAAGGAACCGGATTGGCCGCTAGGTTCGGGGTGTGCAAAGCGCAGCCGTTACGTAGTGGCGGGACTCAGTCTCGTGACTGCAGGGTCAGGTAACCCAGCTCTCAGGTACTGTCAGAATCCGGGCGGATAGGGTGGAGGGCGGTGTTAGCCCCTCCCAGTCACGCCTCTCTGCCGGCTTCTTGTCCTCTTCAGTCATTGGGCAATATTACTGTTCGTCAAGGACCCGCCTCCGAAGATAAACCAATCAGGAATTGCGGGCGGGGCTTTCTTCTAGAGCTTGTTCCCTTCTAGGGCCGGTTCTCGGGAAGTGGGACCAGAGAGGCGGCTGCCGCTGCACTGTGCGCAAGCGCGCAGCTGAGGTGACCGAGAAGGCGGCAGGGAGCAAGCTGGTGAGAAAAGGGCTGGAGGTTCGAGGTAAGGAAGGGGATGACCCGAGATGTGGACGCCTTCTTTCCTGCCAGCCCTCGCCGGCGCCTGGCTCTCTCCGGCGCTCGGCGCGGGCTTAGGTGTTGGGGCGGAGAGCCGAATGGGGTGAGGGGAGGTTAGAGGGCGGGCCCGTGGCCGGGAGGGACAAGCTGGGCCCATGGTCACGGTCACCCCACTCGCACGCACACGCCACGTGGGCCTGCGGGCTGGCCGAGGACTCGGCTGCGGACCGCGACACCCACACTAGTAGTTTTATGTCCGGAGCACCCTTTGAGCTTGGCGTCCTGACCGAGTTCCCATCTTGTACAACCTGGGAAGTGGAGACTCAGAGGCACCAAGTCGGTGGGGTGGCCTGGGAGCATCTAGCTGGGACGTAGTCTCGCCCGGGTTTGAGGGGCATCGGGCTTAGTAGATTCTGGAGCCCGGGCTATAAGGCAGTGATCATAGACTTGAACTCCAGACCTGTCTTTTTTTTTTTTTAGAGACGTGAAATTGGGTCCCGGCTGCTGCCTGCCGGCTCTGCTGAGCCCGGAAGTGTCCGAAGCCCTCTGTGCTCCTGACTGACCTCTCCTGTCCCCAAGTTTAGCGGGGTGGGTACTGTCCTCAGTGCTAGGGCTCTCGAAATCCGGACAAACTCAGGGCAGATTTCATCATGAAGTCTGAAAACACGTGGGAAATGCCCTTCCTCCCTCCCGGGTCAGAAGCTAATTATAATGGCTGGAGCATTTTTTTTTTTTTTTTTTCCTCCTTGCCCAAGGAAAAATACCACCAAGGCTGGAAAAGGCACTATGAAACTGTTTCTTTCATGCCTCTCTGGAGGCAGATGTGAAGCTTTTTAGAAATCAGTGTTGGCAATGAGTCCAAGCCCTTTGATCTACTGAATCCTCATTTGGGAATAAGTAGATTAAAACCTAAATAAGGAAAAGGTAGTTGCATAAGGCCATGTGGTTAGGTTTTTTTACAAATAACAGGTTAGTGGAAACAATCTCTAAGTCCTTAGCATTAGATAAGTCAATTGAGGCATATTACATATTCATTCAGTGGATTAGAACACACACACGCACACACACAAAATGCTCATAACAGGAAAGCCAGATTCAAAGTTATAAGAACAGCATGGAAGAATATATACTTAATGACAAAAATAACTGCCTTTTTCTAAGCAAAAGGATCATATTTTATTAAATCTTCACGAAACTCTGTTAGACTGGCATTATTACCATTCCACCCGTGGATAACTGGAGTTCAGATTATGCAGTATATACAATGCTAGACAGATAATGTGTTACTGGGCCTCTGAAAATGTCACATTTAGCCAATATTTAAGAACTTATTGTGCGCCAGCCAGGTACAGGGCTAGACACTGAATAACTAATGGTAAGATAGTTAATAGTTTTTAAACACATGGAGCTTATAGACTAGTGAGGAAGCAGATATCTAAATGAACACTTTGAGTGCTAGGGAGGTTGTGTACATGGGAGCTAGACAATAGGGTCTAGCAAGAGAAAGAATTTGGGAAGGAGAGGAAAAAGAGACCCTGGGTTGGCTAGTAGGGAGAAGGGAGGCCTTCAGTGTCCCTGTAAAAGCAGAAAATTTATAAAACCTGTTCCCCAAATTTGTAGAATGTGATTATGTGTTATAATGAGGAATAGGGACACTTACTTAGCCTTTTGAATTTAATCAACTCTTCTAAATTGCTTAAATCATTTTTGTTTAGGATACTAGCAAATTAAATGTTTCAGAAGTTGATATTTTTAAGAAATTTTGAAACTTTCTTAAACTCTTTAATTTTCAGGCTTAAAAAAATTCCCGTTTGCTAGTTTATATTCAGAATGTCAAGTACTGTGTCCTACTGGATCTTAAATTCTGCAAGGAACCATATTGCCACATTCCAAGGGGGCAGACGCTTATACTCAAGGTGTGTTTCAAATAGGAATCAATCGAAATGGAAGCTCTTTTCCTGGGTGCCACCAATGCTGAAAAACAGTTCTCCTTGTGGTAGCTTCGCTCTACAGAAAGCCTACAGACACACATCAACGGAGGAAGAGGATTTCCACTTGCAGCTCAGTCCTGAGCAGGTAAATGAAGTGCTTCGTGCTGGTGAATCAGCCTACAAGATCCTTGACTTCAACAGTGGAGTCCCAAATTCAGTGTTGCGGTTTGAGAGCAATCAGCTAGCTGCCAATTCCCCAGTGGAGGACCGGAGAGGTATAGCCTCCTGCTTGCAGACCAGTGGACTGATGTTTGGCATCTTTGATGGACATGGTGGTCATGCATGTGCACAAGCAGTGAGCGAGAGGCTCTTCTATTATGTGGCAGTGTCCCTGATGTCCCACCAAACCTTGGAGCAGATGGAGGGAGCAATGGAGAACATGAAGCCCCTGCTGCCCATCCTGCAGTGGCTCAAACATCCTGGGGATAGTATCTATAAAGATATCACTTCAGTGCATCTTGACCACCTCCGTGTCTATTGGCAGGAGCTACTTGACCTACACATGGAGTTGGGACTGAGCATTGAGGAAGCATTAATGTACTCGTTCCAGAGACTGGATTCTGATATCTCACTGGAAATCCAGGCTCCCCTGGAAGATGAAGTGACAAAGAATCTATCACTCCAGGTTGCCTTCTCTGGGGCAACAGCTTGCATGGCCCATGTCAACGGAGTTCACTTGCATGTAGCAAATGCTGGTGACTGCCGGGCCATCCTTGGTGTTCAGGAGGACAATGGTATGTGGTCTTGTCTACCCCTTACCCACGACCACAATGCCTGGAATCCAGCTGAGCTATCCCGGCTTAAAAGGGAACACCCTGAGTCAGAGGACAAGACAATCATCATAGATGACAGACTGCTGGGTGTCCTCATGCCCTGCAGGGCCTTTGGGGATGTTCAGCTGAAGTGGAGTAAAGAGCTGCAGCGCAACGTCCTAGAAAGGGGCTTTGATACTGAGGCCCTCAACATTTACCAGTTCACCCCCCCACACTACTATACTCCACCCTACCTGACTGCCAAACCTGAGGTTACATACCACAGGCTGAGGCCCCAGGATAAGTTCCTCGTGCTGGCCTCCGATGGCCTGTGGGACATGCTGGACAATGAGGATGTGGTAAGGCTGGTGGTGGGGCACCTGTCCAAGGCAGGTTGCCACAAGCCAGACCTGGCCCAAAGACCCGCCAACCTGGGGCTCATGCAGAGTCTGCTGCTGCAGAGGAAAGTTAGTGGGCTCCACGCAGCTGACCAAAATGCAGCCACACACCTGATCAGACATGCCATTGGGAGCAACGAGTATGGGGAGATGGAGCCAGAGCGACTGACAGCAATGCTGACCTTGCCAGAGGACCTGGCAAGGATGTACAGGGATGATATCACTGTCACTGTGGTGTATTTTAACTCAGACTCAATTGATGCGTATTACAAGGGGGGTTAAGAGTTTCCCATCCTATTGCCCAGTTAACATAAATGCTCTTTAAAACATTTTCTTTTACTTTTAAATGAGCTATGCAAATATCACTGTTGAAAGGACAGGCAGATATTAGCTTGCTGAATATTTGACTAACATGAGAAGAGGAGGAAAACAGCTAAGGTTTAAAAACAGTAGCAGTGATTTCATATGTCTGAATGTACTGGTCAACTCTTCTATGCAGAGAGGGCAGAGGACCATAGAATTGGCCCTGGGCTCATATAGCCCAAATCCTTATAAAGACACTGTTAAACTGTGTCATCCTGAACTTTCAAAGGGCAAATTTAATCATGATTCCAAGCATAAAGAACTTCAGGATCTTCTGAGATTCAACTGCAAAATCTGCGGGTTTGATCATTCTGAATTCACAGTCACACACTCTAGGTTTATGAAGAGTTTTTTTTGTTTGTTTGTTAGTTTTGTTTAATTAATAAAGTCTAGGGTTACAAAGCATACTACAGTACACTTTTCTATGCAATATTCTAACTTTTTTGTGAATATTCTTGTGAAGACCTTCTGTAATACTACATTCTAGTTCTGTTTTAGCTTATTTACAAATTAATCCTCAAACTTACAAGCAGGCCTACTGTAAGCATGTTTTGTTTTTCAGCTGAGAGTAAGAGGGTCTAGGCCTCTGGACCAGCTAAATTTACTTGTACAGCATTTGGTCTCCTCCAGTGAGTCTCACTCCAGAACCTTTGAGCCATACTAGGGGGTAATTTATGTCTAATCCTTAACTCCTGGCCTTTTTCTTGTGTTAGAAAATGTTCTTCTAGGCTTATTTAATAACCCCCTTCACTTCCTGAGGGGATTATTTACAGCATTTAGCATTTTTGATTATATCTTTCAAACATTCTTCTGTTAATTCCATCTGACACAGTCCTTCTACCTCTGCCCAGTCTTGCCCTGCAGCTGCTGACTACACAAGAGTATCTTAGAAAGTCTTTCACCTGTTTTCTATTCAAATGGGTTTCAGGAAAGGAGGCTATGTGAGCATGTGTGATAGTTGTGATGGACATTTAGGCAGGAGACAGAATTATTTAGTGGACTTAAGATTTAGTCTGAATCTGGAGAGGTGAAAACATGAAGGGTCTAAAGAGAACAGGTATTGTCCGAGACTCTGCATCCTGAGGGGTAGTGAGGAGGAGGGAGGAGTAAGACTTATTAGATGGGACATCTACCCTAGAATGCGATCAATCACCATTGCTACTTCTCAGAAATTAGATCATGTTTAGTATAGGAGTTAAGGCAAAAATAAAAATTTAACTTGTCATGGTTTCCATGGGCCACAGAGGCTGTTTACTTAAAAATTAACCCACATGGATCCTTTTTGGGGATGAATTTCCTCTTGTCATGTGCAGCTGTGGCATTTAAACAGGAAATGTGTCCCTAAATAGAAACACAAATATAATTCCACAAAATTGACCATTTTGGTTTTCCTGTACTGCATCAGGCAGAATTCTTCAGCGTAGTCAAACTGCATTAGTTGATCCCTCTCTACTCACCCTGCCATCCCCCTGAAAAGAAAAGCTAATAACCTGAGTGTTTTCCTCTTATTTGTGTTCCAGCTGACATTCAATCAACAGTTGAGATATGTCTAATATGGGGACATTTCTTTGTATATCATCCAGGACACCTGTTTAGTGTCATGGCTTCATCTAAGAAATTCTCGTTTAGGTACTTAAGTCTTGGTCCTTTTTTTTCTGAAACCATCATTATTCTCTTTGATCTCTTAGACCTTAACTCAGAAATAAATTGTGAATCACTACCATTCTGTTAGCATGGTTCCTTGTTCAAACTGAGGTGAGGACTCTGCTTGCCTAATGTTTTTCTTTGTCCTTTGTTTTCCATTCCAGCTACACCCTGGAACCTTAACTGGCCTAGAGGGTCTGAATCCTACTTTGGATGCATGGTTCATAAATGTGTCTTGATTCAGTAGCTTGAGTAGCAGCTGATAGAACACAGATTTCCCACCTGTGTCTCCAAGCCTGTTTTTTTCCTTTGCCTATTAGATTTCCCTGCTATCTAGTTGGCATATTGAAAGGGAAGAATGGCCCATTTATGTCTTTTTTCTGCTGTGAACTGTCAGTTCTTACTATGAGTGCTCCAGGGAGTCTAACCTTCTGGTTAAACTCCAGTGTGTCTGTCTCCAGACTTTAGTTCTTGTTAGCAGCCTTCCTAAAGCACATAGTCTACTGCTTTGGGACACTGCAATTGGAAAGGAGGTTAGAGGTCTTTGTCAAATTTTGCAAAGCACCTGTCATTCCTTTTATATAGAGATTTCAATTTTGAGGCTTTTAAAATATTTTTTTTAAATGAGATTGGCCATGTAATATTTTAGATGTAACTTTGAAGGAAATATGCTTTGGTGCTTAAAATTATTTATTATTTTAGGTATGAAACTGATAATATTGGCGTAATTTAGATATTATTTATATATAAATAATATAGCTCTGTCGATTCTGGGTCAAAATGGATAGAGAAGATGGTATTCTCAATTCAAATTGGTATGCTAGATCGTTACTGAGATTCAGCTTTCTGAGATGTTATTTGTATATTAAAGCTAATTTATTATAATGAAAATATAAACTTTGGGGTATTTTAATGTATGAACATATTTTTCCTTGAAGTACATTTGGCCTAAAACGTTATAGGTCTTGAAAGTTCAATTTGAGACACAATCAAATTGACACTTTTTAAACATAAATGAAACATAAACAACTTGAACTCAAATTAGTTAAAGAAGAGTATAATTATGTGGAATAAAAAAAAAAAAAAGGTGTTCAGAATGAGTCTGGCTGGACTCTTTAGTCCATCAGCCCATAGTGGCCCATGTTTATTTGACAACTTTTGGGAAGTCTTAAATTCCCAGGTCAAACCAGAACATCCTGGAACTGAGCCAACTTGGTTTCATCAGAAAATGATTCTTCACTTGTCTCTGAAATGTGATCCCCATGACAGAAAAAGCCCTGGTATAGTCTTGGAGCTGGGGGACCCATACTTATGACACCTCAATAAGCTTGTGATAGAGCTGCCATGTGCATGACCTGAGGGGAAGGTATGTTTGGTTGCTGTTTAACCATCTCCTGAGCTGACCCAGGCTCTGTCCCTTCCTTCTGGGGCATCTGATGTCTAACTTGCCTCCCAGAAAATATTTATTAAACATTCTCTTGGAATAATTATTAACCATGTTCTTTAATAATTACTGGCATTTGTATTTTGGCATTGTAACCAATGTTCATATCTGACACTGATTTTCTCCAACCATTAGTGCTATTTAATCAAAACTTGTAAATAAAAGAAGTAAAATGAAATTTGGCTTCCTTTGGTATGAACACTAATTTTCTAGCCCTTAGGACACTATGTTTTTTTTCACCACCTTTATCTGACCAAGGAAGAGTTTAGGCTCTAAGAGTCCACCCAAAAGACAAGCATGGTGTTCCACAAATTTTTGGTGGCTGCTGAGTACCCAGGAAGTCCTCATTTATGTTAACCATATGTGGGAGACCTGAGAAAAAGGAAAAGGGAATAAACTTCTGCTGTGAGGGTCTCCATACATTTAGGGCTAAGGCCTACTGGGATTTTAGAGAGATATTGATTTTGTCTCTCTCTCTCTCTCTCTGTGTGTGTTGGGCTTTTAGAAGGAGCAGATTTTTTGGGGGGGTACTAGGGATTGAACTCAGGGGCACTCAACCACTGAGCCATATCCCCAGCCCTATTTTGTATTTTATTTAGAGACAGGGTCTCACTGAGTTGCTTTGCACCTCACTGTTGCTGAGATTGGCTTTGAACTCATGATCCTCCTGCCACTTCAGGTGGCTCCCCTAGGAGGATGGGTAAGCCTTTACTGACTTCCGTGGGTCAGAAATTGTCTCATTGGCTTTACTGTCTTCTCCAAGCATGTCTTGGTCTGAGAAATGGCCAGGCTGGGACTTCAGGGCTGAGGAGGCCAGGGTTCCAGTGCCAGCTTTTACTGCCAAGGGAATAAACAGCCTAGACTTGTGGATAAACAGTCTGGGGAGGGACACTCCAGAACCCACTCATTTCCTATCTCAATTCTTCCTGCCTTCCCAGGATTCTGGAAAGCCCTCATCTGCCCAACCTTGTTCTCCCTATAGCAGATAAACAGAAGGAATGCCTGCCTACCTCTATTTGAGCCTTGCATGCCCCAGAGCCAGTCATGTGGAGCTGTCTAGGAATGGCCCAATCCAGCTAGGGGCTGAGAGGCCTATGACACAGCCACAGTGGGGAACGGGAAGGGCCAGTCCAGGGAAGAGAGCACATGGATTGAAGCCCAGGATCTGGTCCAGCCCAGTGTCTGGGGACAGGACTCCTGGAACATTGTTGCAGTGAAGGGGGAGGGGAAGCTAGCTAAATGTGGCTGGCTGCGATGAGCCCCTCAGGGGACCTCTAGGATGGGAAAATGAGAAAGGCAGTGTAGTGGCCTCAGGAAGGGCTATGGGCATGGCTTGCTCTGGCATCAGCCTGGGGTAGGGAGGAGAGCTGGGAATCCTGCCTCAACTCCCCAATATCCTGTGGTGTTACTTCCAGGGCTGTCACTCTTATTACTCTCCTCCCACCCCCACCCCTTTAGCCTCAGGCCTGGCCCCTGTCCTGCTCCAAGCATGAATGTGGAATGAATGAGGAAGGATGGAAGGACAGATGGATGGATAGATGATAAAGGAGGAGTAAACGAAGAGGAACTAGCATACAGGAGGCTCAGAGAAGTAGGAGGAGAAGAGTGAGTGGTGGCCTGGAGGCAGAAAGAAGCAAGGGGAGTTGGCAAAGAGGGTCCAGATCCAGAAAAGGCATGGATGTGGCTGGATGGAAATGAATAATTAGCTAAGAAAGATTTGCTGCAGGAGAGGGGCAGACCATTCTGTAATCTCACTTGGGGATGAAGACAGAGGATGGGCCTTGATGGAGGTAAGGACAGGGTGTTGACTTTCTGAGAAAAGGCTTGGCTGAGTTGCTGGGAGGACCCTACCTCTGAAACAAAGTGGTACAGAGGGTGGGAGGACAGGGAATGTCATCAACAAACCAGTGTGCTCCTTGGTTTGTGGGGCACTTGGGGTCCCAGGGATTCTGCTGACTCTGAACAGAGTTTTGGTACTGAGGATGGAGGAGATGGGGTTTTCCCACCTCTACCCAGTGGCTTGATCACTAAATCCTGCAAGTGGCGTGATGGGCGGAACATCAGCAGAAAGCCCGAGGCCATGTGAGATCCAGAGGCTGCCTCTAGATGTCACCATCCAGCCATGCTGACACCAGATGCAGCCAGGGTGGGAGGAGTGTGTTCCTGAGGCCTAGCCCCAGCCTGAGCAAGCTTTCTCTGTGACTGCAAGCTGAAACAAGCTTTGGAAAGTCTTAGAAGTCTTTGGGGCAAAAAACAAGTGTGGGATGGGAGAAGGACTCTGATTTGTGGTCACCCAGCTCAGATTTATGGGAAAGGGGCTGCTAGGGTCCCAGATTGCAGCAGAGAAGGTGGTAGATCACATGTGATCAGAGAGTGGCTGCTATGGTGACAGTGTGGCTTTTCTTCTGTAGACTACCTTACACCTCTGATCCCATCCTCCCTACTCCACTCCTTACAGCCAGTTCCCACAGCCACTTTTCCAGCAACCCTGGGGTCCATGCCTTCCTGCCAACATCCTGTGCCAATTTCAAGAAAAATCCGAACCACCTTTATCCTCCCCTGCCCCCAAATGACAACTGCTCCTCTAGTCATTTCCACCCACCACACTGCAGTCAACTCTGTCACTCCTGTGTTCAGAACCCTTCCATGGCTCCTTATCACCCTAAGGTAAGAGCTCAGATTCTTACTGGCCTCCTTGACCTCTCTCTGTCCTCCCCAGTTGTATGGGCCCAACTGTTACACAAAGCACTATGTTCCTAGAATGTACCAGGCCTTTGTCCTGCTGTTTCCTCTGGCCAAAACACCTGCACTATCCTTCACCAAATCTTGGCTTACGCCTACTTATTGAGTCAGATTCTACTGAGGCGACGTTCCTGACTTTCTAGGCCTCCTCTGGCTCCCATGTACTGACCCTCCATCATATCTCCTTGGGTGTTTCCTGTCTTTATGTCTGTTGACCCTCTTGGCAACAGGGACCTGGTCTGACTCTCCTCTGGATCCCCAGGAATCAGCCCAGTGCCTGGCATGCAGTAGGCACTCAACAAATGCATTTAAAATGTTAGGGTGGGGCCTGGGAGTATAACTCAGTGGTGGAGCATTTGCCTAGCATGCAGGAGGCCCTGGGTTCAATTCCCAACATTGCAAAATAATTTTTAAAAATTTATTCTAATTTGTTATATATGATGGCAGAATGCAATTTGCTTCATATTACACAAATAGAGCACAGTTTTTCATGTCTCTGGTTGTACACAAAATAGAGTCACACCATTTGTGTTTTCATACTTGTACTTAGGGTAATGATGCTCATCTCATTCCACCATCTTTCTTACCCCCATTCTCCCTCCCTTCCTCTCCCTCTCCCTTGCCCTATCTAAAGTTTATCTATTCCTCTCATGCTCTCCCCCATCCCCATTATGAATCAGCCTCCTTATATCAGTGAAAACATTCGGCATTTGGTTTTTTGGGATTGGCTTACTTCACTTAGTATGATATTCTCCAACTCCATCCATTCACCTGCAAATGCCATGATTTTATTCTCTTTTAATGCTGAGTAATATCCATTGTGAATATATACCACATTTTCTTTATCCATTCATCTACTGAAGGGTATCTATGTTGGTTTCACAATTTAGCTATTGTGAATTGTGCTGCTATAAACATTGATGTGGCTGTTTTCAAGTCCTTTGGGTATAAATCAAGGAGTGGAATAGCTGGATCATGGTGGTTCCATTCCCAGTTTTCCAAGGAATCTTCATACTGCTTTGCAGATTGGTTGTACCAATTTACAGTCCCACCAGCAATATAAGAGTGTCTCCTTTTCCCTACCCACATCCTCGCCAACTCTTATTGTTGTTTGTATTCTTAATAGCTGGCATTCTGACTGGAGTGAGATGAAATCTTAGAGTAGTTTTGATTTGCATTTCTCTAATTGCTAAAGACATTTAATATTTTTTTTCATATATTTGTTGATCGATTGTATATTATCTTCTAAGAAGCGTCTGTTCAGTTCCTTGGCCCACTTATTGATTGGGTTATTTGTTTTTTTGGTTGCATAAGAATTTTTAAAAAAATGTTAGGGAAGGAAGAGTGAGAAAAGAAAAAGGTCTTGATTTTCCCCCACAAATTGGAGTTTCCTCTTCCAACAGTTGGGCCAGCCTTTTAGTCATTCCTGGGGTGGAGTTTGGAATCCTCTTCCTTTTGTTTCTTCAGTTATGGGTTTAAGGATATCTCAAATTCTTTGACATTTCTTCCATCAAGCAGTGGGGTCGAATTCCCCTCCCCTTTAATCCGGGCTGACCTTAGCCACTTGCTTACAACCAAGAGAATATAGTAAAAATGACACTGGGGGTTGGTAAACTTAAAGTGTGGCATAGTCTTGATAATTGGTGACTCTGATACATGATTTAAGTAGCTTTATTATACTATCCACTCTATTTTTGATGTTGGAAGTTTATTTATTGTTTTGGTGTTGGGGATCAACCCAGGGTCTTTCTTATGCTAATCATATGCTCTATTACTGAGTTACATTCCCTAGAGCTCCTAGAAATTTTTTTATTAGGAAAAAAAAAAAAAACTTCAGTGACATTGTCCCAACTCTGGCCCTTTCACCCTCTCTGGCTTCCAAAGAGTCCAAAATACCTCAGTCCCTTTCTTATACATCATGCAAGGTCAAGTGTGATCTGGCCCTGCCCACCTCACTTCCTATCTCTTCAGTTCTGTTCTTGGCCACTCTGATCTACTTTCGGCCAGGGAGGAGCCATATCAGGGACTTGGTTTATGATAATTTAAGATCATAAACTAGGCCACATTGAGTGAGCACATACTCTGGCCAAGTGCTGTGCCCAGGACTTTATGTGTATTATCTTATTTAATCCTCACACAATCATATAAGTATTACTAACCCACTTTACAAATGAAGAAACTGAGCCCAGAGAGGTAAAATGCTGTGCCTTAGGCTACAAAACCAGTAAATGCAGAGCTGAGTTTCAAATCTTGGTGTCTGACTCCAAAGCCTCGTCTTAGCACTCATGTAATTCTTTTGAATATTTATTCATTTGATTAAAAGAAAAGTTCCACTTGCTCCCCACTGGCTTGGCAGCAACTAGGAAGGAGTAAGCTATCAATCCATAGGAATGTTCTAGCAAAAACTGGAGGAGTGTGCCTGTGAAGATGTGAAGG